CAGATTGTGAGAGAGGAAGAGAAGAGGAAGCGATAGGAGAAAGGTAAGTTTGGCATGACAGTGCCGCTTTAAATGACTCTTTACAAACTAACTGCCTTAGTTTGATATTGATATTTTATATTCAAGCAGTTTTATTGTTATGTCGTGGTCTAAACATCTGATCTTTACTTGAACAATCTATCTTAACTTACATTATGTGTAACATTTCGGACAGTGGAAACAGCAAGCAGGACTCATTTAGATATCTTTATATAACCTTCCCGTGTTTTGTAAGAGTGACTTATATTTATTTTCTGACCCTCAGCCAGTGGCTTAGAGGAGCCCGAGGTAAATTCATTTAACCACAGCCCCCAGACATGTTTCAAGAGTCGGAAAACGTATTAAGCTTTGGAACTGTCTCCGCTATACTATGATCAAGGCCTAACGAGTCAATTTAGACAAAAACGGTTCTCAGAACTTTCAATGAAATCACCGGTTACATAACTGAAAGGGTGTCTACTTGAATATGCCACAACTTTAAGGAATTCTTTTTTTCTCTAACTTTTAAATTCAGCAAATTTTATAAATGTGCATTCAAATTTGCAGAAACAAGTTGAAGTTATATCAATGGTAACAATAATAATTACATTACTCACCTCATTTCTCGTAGTTACCTCGTTCAGCTCTCGGTCCCCCAGGCCCCCTCTAGGAAATGCCTTTACCAGCTTTTAGAATTAGAATAATTAGAAATGGGAATACATGCATTTTCTGTGAGGACTTTGTAAAGTCTTTATATTAGGTCTAATGGACAATGTTTCTCCCAAGTGGATTTTTTTAGATGCTTTCATTCCAGAAAATAAATATTTTATACGGCATGCTGTAAACCAAAGTTTGTTTACAAGTCAAAAGATGAAAGATAAAAAAAAGTACAAGCAGTTTAACTGACTAAACAGTGAATTCTGAAAAATAGACACGAGTATTACAAAAATGCTCAATATTACGTGTGACAGATTCACCTATATTGCTGGTTCATCTGTTTCCCCTTTATTTCGCTGGATTCCCTGTTCGTATGCCCCTGTTCGTGAAATTACAAAATGCCGATTGAAACTACCGAACGAACGACCACCCAGGGGAGGAGTGTGCTGCTGGTTAACCTCTTGGCCCCAATTAGAACGTTGTGGTTAACCGCAGACACCTCTCCATTCCATTCGTACGGGTGGTCGTCGTTCGCATGTCGACCACGAGGCAGCAGCCATTTTGGGACACGAGAAAGCGTAGCAGTGTTCGGTACAAATTCTATGGAACTAAAAACGGACACTTTAATCTACCGAACACCGCTGGAAGCTGATGCCCCCCTTCTATTTCGGCGAGGCATACGAACGCCGGTCTGTTCGGGAGTTTTATGCATTCGTATGGACCTTTACCCAGATAGCCGTCCCATGGAGTCATTCGTATACCGAAGGACTGGTGAAAGACTTTGACTCCATGGCGATTCGACTAGATACATCGGATCTGAGCGCTATTCGGTGGAAATATGCACTCAGATCCAGGCTGTCTGGGGATACGTTATACGAACTATATTCATTCGGTATTTTCTAAGTTATGTATTTTAATGTATTTTTATTACTGTATTTTAAAATGGCGATGGTCTCTATCCTAGGAGATAATTAGGTTTCTTCCCAATTATCTCCGAGGTAGAGAAGACGGATTTATGGGTAAGATGGGAAGGGCTTATATTGAAGCCACTGCGATTGGCTACTGTACAATATGTTTTACAGTCTTCCACAAGGTCCCCTCGGGGAGTGTCCACCTTGTGGAGACCTGCATAACTACCGGGCAGGTAGCCCCCATTAAACAGAACCTTATTTGACCCTCAAGACGGAGCTTGGTCTCGTTTGTGGGGGAATTACTACTGGGACAGCGCTTTCATTATTTTTAGCTGTGGAAGGCGTTCGACTGTTTTGCTGATCGGGAGTTGCCGTGTTCGTGAACTTCGTTCGGGAGTTTGGCGGTCGGCTGGATATAAACTGCATTTCTGGAGAAAGGGGATTATTCACTAAACGGCAGCTTCATCTACCTGGCGGTGAGTGTCTTAACATTACGCTTTCAGCTGCAGAGTTGGGCATCACTGGTAAAATAATAAATGCTATACGTCTGCATATTTTAATGCACAGTTGCTACTTTTTAGACAACTTTATAACATTGTCACGTCACATTTTTTAAAAGTTCATTACATATAAAGACACTTAATGGTAATTTTGTTAAAAGATGTATATTGATTTCTTTTTTAGAAAATATAACTTTATCAGTTTGAGCAGCCATGTTGGTTCAGACGCTATTGTTATCTGACCTATTGCTGCTCAACCTAACTTGCTGCTGCTGTGATTGCTCTGTGTGAACCTGCCGCAGGGAGCAAGTTAGGCTGAGCAGCAACTTTAACGAAAACAGTGACATGGTCCATAGTTGTGGTACCTGGAGCCTAGGAGCAGTGTAACGCCCTGTATGTTAGGCAGTTGGTGTAAGGGCTAAAATGAAAAATCCAGAATGTAATCAGAATCAGCCAAGGGAGGCAACAAAGTATCAAAGCCATGGGCAACCGCAGAAAGTCCGGTGTCAGGTAACCAATAACAGTGTAATACTCGCAGGATATACCTCTAAAACGACTGAGCACTGAACCTAGAGGGTCATTGTATCCCATATCTTCCATCATGGAAACCGATGTTATGGTGGAAATGGAATGACACAGGAAATGTATATTGATACACAGAACGTGTATATTGATAGACAGAAGGTGTATATTGACACACAGGACGTGTATATTGATACACAGTTAATGTATATTGATACACAGAACATGTATATTGATACACAGGAAATGTATATTGATACATAGAGCGTTTATATTGATACTTAGAACGTGTATATTGATACACAGAGCATGTATATTGATACACAGGACGTGTATATTGATACACAGAACATGTATATTGATACACAGGAAATGTATATTGATACACAGAACGTTTATATTGATACACAGAACATGTATATTGATACACAGAACGTTTATATTGATACACAGAACATGTATATTGATACACAGGAAATGTATATTTATACACAGAACATGTATATTGATACACAGAGCGTTTATATTGATACTTAGAACGTGTATATTGATACACAGAACATGTATATTGATACACAGAATGTTTATATTGATACACAGAACATGTATATTGATACACAGAACGTTTATATTGATACACAGGATGTGTATATTGATACACAGAACATGTATATTGATACACAGGAAATGTATATTGATACACAGAACATGTATATTGATACACAGAATTGCCAGCTGTCATAGAATGTTTCTATTGATACACAGAATGTGTATTTTGATACACAGAACATGTATATTGATACACAGGAAATGTATATTTATACACAGAACATGTATATTGATACACAGAGCGTTTATATTGATACTTATAACGTGTATATTGATACACAGAACGTTTATATTGATGTACAGGAAATGTATAATGATACACAGAACGTGTATATTGACACTATATTGATACACAGAACGTGTATATTGATACACAGAACGTTTGTATTGATACACAGAACATGTATATTGATACACAGAACATGTATATTGATACACAGAACGTTTATATTGATACATAGAATGTGTATATTAATACACAGAACGTTTATATTGATACACAGGAAATGTATATTGATACACAGAACGTGTATATTGACACACAGAACATGTATATTTATACACAGGATGTGTATATTGATACACAGAACATGTATATTGATACACAGGATGTGTATATTGATACACAGAACATGTATATTGATAGACAGAACGTGTATATTGATACACAGAACATGTATATTGATAATTCCCTTAATAAAGCATACGAATCCCCAAACATCAGTCAAAGTCAAGAAGAAGGGTACAACAGAACTGGCTTTTAATGACCACACACAGGCTTTTATGCAAGTCCCCATACAAGGGGACATCCCACAGGGAGGGACACAGTATAACCGATCAGTTACAGAAAAACCATAAAACACACCCAGCACAATTATACAATTCCCTCCCCTAGTCCTGGAGATAATCAAGTCTGATAAAGTAATAACTTGATTATCTCCAGGCAGAAAAATCACAACTTTCCCCAATATTCAGAACACCCCTTTATACATGGGGTATCCCCACAAATAATATATCCCCTGATAGCCCCCATCTGGGTGACCAACATATTCAAATTTCACCCAGATCGGTTCAGGGGTTCTCAAAAAGTGTGGAAGTACTTTGTGACCGGCTAACCGCGAGCTGGCTGCCCAAAATAGTTCCAGGAGTTTGGGTGGTTTTGCCGGTCTATTCAGTAAAGGGGTAAAAACAGAATAATTCCACAAATGGATTCCCCTGGCTCTTAGCATTGATTGTTCCCCTCATTCGAATGCACAAAAGTACCGAATAGCGCTCTTCTAGCTATTCGGAAAATAGAGATCCACCGTTCGCTTGTTGAGACCGGTGTTCGGGACGTCGAGTGTCCGATTTTAGTTCCAGACACTCGACGACCAAGTCCCGCTGCCTTTGTTTGCCTGAAAAAAGATGGCCGCCATTTTCTCAGCCACGTGGCGTTCAGTAGTACGAACGCTAGCCGCACAGATAGGGGGTTCAATTGAAGCATTCTTTGAAGTTTAACGAGCCAGGGGGGTGGTCTCTGTTTGGTAGTTATATCTACCGAATGAATATGGAAGAAATATTATACATAAAGAGGGATTTCTTCACAATCCCCTTTTCTTTGTTTGCTGCCTTCATTTTGATTAATTAGCAATAAACCTGCTCCTTTTTTTTAATGAGCCCTTTATAACGTGTTCACATAACCAACCACCACAACTTCTTGTCATTACAGACTTTACTAACACAACATCATCAAACGTGGCCACAATACCATCGCAAACTAAACATTGACCCATACTACAAGAACATGGGGATTGACAGTCAGTACTTACTTGGGAACATGGGGATTGGCAGTCAGTGCTTACTTAGGAACATGGGGATTGACAGTCAGTACTTACTTGGGAACATGGGGATTAGCAGTCAGTGCTTACTTGGTAACATGGGGATTGACAGTCACTACTTACTTGGGAACATGGGGATTGGCAGTCAGTGCTTACTTAGGAACATGGGGATTGACAGTCAGTGCTTAATTGGGAACATGGGGATTGACAGTCAGTGCTTATTTGGGAACATGGGGATTGGCAGTCAGTGCTTACTTGGGAACATGGGGATTGACAGTCAGTGCTTAATTGGGAACATGGGGATTGACAGTCAGTGCTTAATTGGGAACATGGGGATTGACAGTCAGTGCTTAATTGGGAACATGGGGATTGACAGTCAGTGCTTACTTGGGAACATGGGGATTGACAGTCAGTGCTTACTTGGGAACATGGGGATTGACAGTCAGTGCTTACTTGGGAACATGGGGATTGACAGTCAGTGCTTAATTGGGAACATGGGGATTGACAGTCAGTACTTACTTGGGAACATGGGGATTGACAGTCAGTGCTTAATTGGGAACATGGGGATTGACAGTCACTGCTTACTTGGGAACATGGGGATTGACAGTCAGTACTTACTTGGGAACATGCGGATTGACAGTCAGTACTTACTTGGGAACATGCGGATTGACAGTCAGTGCTTACTTGGGAACATGGGGATTGGCAGTCAGTACTTACTTGGGAACATGGGGATTGACAGTCAGTGCTTACTTGGGAACATGGGGATTGACAGTCAGTGCTTACTTGGGAACATGGGGATTGACAGTCAGTGCTTACTTGGGAACATGCGGATTGACAGTCAGTACTTACTTGGGAACATGGGGATTGACAGTCAGTGCTTACTTGGGAACATGGGGATTGACAGTCAGTGCTTAATTGGGAACATGGGGATTGACAGTCAGTACTTACTTGGGAACATGGGGATTGACAGTCAGTGCTTAATTGGGAACATGGGGATTGACAGTCAGTGCTTAATTGGGAACATGGGGATTGACAGTCAGTGCTTAATTGGGAACATGGGGATTGACAGTCAGTACTACTTGGGAACATGGGGATTGACAGTCAGTGCTTACTTGGGATCATGGGGATTGACAGTCAGTGCTTAATTGGGAACATGGGGATTGACAGTCAGTACTTACTTGGGAACATGGGGATTGACAGTCAGTGCTTAATTGGTAACATGGGGATTGACAGTCAGTGCTTACTTGGGAACATGGGGATTGACAGTCAGTACTTACTTGGGAACATGGGGATTGACAGTCAGTGCTTACTTGGGAACATGTGGATTGACAGTCAGTACTTACTTGGGAACATGGGGATTGACAGTCAGTGCTTACTTGGGAACATGGGGATTGGCAGTCAGTGCTTATTTGGGAACATGGGGATTGACAGTCAGTGCTTACTTGGGAACATGGGGATTGAGAGTCAGTGCTTACTTGGGAACATGGGGATTGACAGTCAGTACTTAATTGGGAACATGGGGATTGACAGTCAGTACTTAATTGGGAACATGGGGATTGGCAGTCAGTGCTTACTTGGGAACATGGGGATTGGCAGTCAGTGCTTATTTGGGAACATGGGGATTGACAGTCAGTGCTTACTTGGGAACATGGGGATTGAGAGTCAGTGCTTACTTGGGAACATGGGGATTGACAGTCAGTACTTAATTGGGAACATGGGGATTGACAGTCAGTACTTAATTGGGAACATGGGGATTGACAGTCAGTGCTTACTTGGGAACATGGGGATTGGCAGTCAGTGCTTACTTGGAAAACATGGGGATTGACAGTCAGTACTTAATTGGGAACATGGGGATTGACAGTCAGTGCTTACTTGGTAACATGGGGATTGACAGTCACTACTTACTTGGGAACATGGGGATTGACAGTCAGTGCTTACTTGGGAACATAGGGATTGACAGTAAGTGCTTACTTGGGAACAAGGGGATTCACAGTCAGTACTTAATTGGGAACATGGGGATTGACAGTCAGTGCTTACTTGGTAACATGGGGATTGACAGTCACTACTTACTTGGGAACATGGGGATTGACAGTCAGTACTTACTTGGGAACATGGGGATTGACAGTCAGTACTTACTTGGGAACATGGGGATTGACAGTCAGTACTTACTTGGGAACAATGGGATTGGCAGTCAGTGCTTACTTGGGAACATGGGGATTGACAGTCAGTGCTTACTTGGGAACATGGGGATTGACAGTCAGTGCTTACTTGGGAACATGGGGATTGACAGTCAGTGCTTACTTGGTAACATGGGGATTGACAGTCACTACTTACTTGGGAACATGGGGATTGACAGTCAGTACTTACTTGGGAACATGGGGATTGACAGTCAGTGCTTACTTGGGAACATGGGGATTGACAGTCAGTATTTACTTAGGAACATGGGGATTGACGGTCAGTGCTTAATTGGGAACATGGGGATTGACAGTCAGTACTTACTGGTAATACTGCCATTGGCAGAAATCACAGCCTCCAGGCACTTCCTGTAGCCATCACCAGTCTTTCCATACTTACCTGAGGAATCTTCTAACTTTTCTCACACAATGCTTCGATCTCTGAAATATTTCTGATGCTCTTTTGGTTGCTGAATGCTTGAGTTCAACCAAGAGATGTTCTGCAGTATTTAAGTTTGAAAACCATGAAGGCCATTGCAAAACCTGAATCGTTCATTAGTTGAGGTAGTTAATACTTGATATTAAGTCCTGTTTTGGATCAATAAGACCTTTCCGGTCGAAACGTTGCGTTGCATTCTGTCATAATAAATCTGCCTGCGGCTTGAAGTTGGAGTGCCTGTGAGTTTTTTCCTCCTGTTTTGGATCAATGTCTTATTTGGGATATCCAACTTCTTTTTGGCTCCAGTTTCTTCACTGTGGGACATTCTCTTCCAGGATTTGTTGATATTTAGTTGAGTTGAGTTGCATAGTTTCCTATTGCTGACTTTCCATGCAAACCATATTGGTGCGAGCTTTAACCACAAGCTAATTTAACCACAACCCCTCGACATATACCAAGAATCCAAGAATATGTTAAACTCTGAAAATGACTTGCTTTAGACTACAAAAAGGTAAACAATTCCAGTTCTGAGACCTTGTAGGAAATCATTGGTGGATTAACTGAAAGGGTCTCCAAACATTTGAATGTACCACATTTGTACTGGATTTTATTTTTCTCTAACTTTTAAATTCAGCAATAAATACAATGTGCATTACATTTAGCAGAAACAAGTTCCGCTTACATTTGTTCACTGCAGAGATTGCAATGCATTGACTTCTTTTTACAGAGAAAATCAGAACCAATATCCGCATTATAGAGGGGAATTTGGAAAAATGTGGAATTGGTGTTCGAGACGATAAGCTGAGGATGGAGGTGTTTGCCAATGATCTATTCAACTTCTCTGGAACCCAAGAAAGTCAATGCCCAAACTCTCGAGTATCCCACAATGCTACATTATTCAAACGATATGGCAGAAACCAGCTGTTCTAGCTATATTCATTGATACAAAGAAAGAATGGAAAAGGACATTTCTGCTCTATCCATAGAGGGATGCCACACTTTGTTTTGCCAACGATGGAGTCATTTACCGTGTGTTCAGAGTCCTCTCCTCCTCGTTCTGAGAGTATGAGAGTTTTTTTTCATATAACTATATATTATGAGGCTATTATTATTATGGACTAATTAAACAGGACTTTTTTTTATTTATCCTGTAGGATCCTATTCACAGCATTGTAAATACTAATCATTTTATTGTTTATTTAATTGGGGTTTAGTTTTTATTTCGAAATCTTACTACGTACCTACTGTTTTACTCTCTATTAAATATAGGGCTAAACCCCTCATGTTGGGTCAGCCTGAGTACACCCAACACTCAGCTCAATGCTCGTTAACTATAATATCATTTATTTGGTCTGACCCGGCATGCTAACCTTCCCCCATGTCCTGACATCTTAAGCATCCACTACTTGAAATACATTTTTATAGATAATGCTAACTTAATAATGTAAAACCAATACTCCAAAATACTAAAATAAAAGTCATTTATTTTAATCCAACTCATCATATATTAAATTAATGGCCTAGATCTTTGCCCACGCCAGGAAGTAGTCTGGCCAATCAGGAGCCTCTCATTCTGGTCTATGGTGTCTGATCTATTCGACTGTTTAATTTCTACACTGCAAGTGTTAAAAAGCAAAATGGGCACCAACTCTTAAGCTCTCCTTGCGGAGGTTGGAGTATCCCTCCCACAAAGCATTGTGTTAGAGGTCGGTGGTTCTGTTATGTATGGTAGCCCCACGTTCTCGCTCTGTAAGGGTAGGAGATCATAATATAAATATAATCACATCCAAAGACATGGAATATATCAACAAAGAAAACATTTCATGCAAATTGGAAGAGACAATTAAAGTACTCTAATTAAAACAGTGTTTGTAACAGACAATTACACTAGACTAATTAAGGCTATGTTTAAAGGTAAACACAATTATACAAAAGCCAGTTTATATATTCCCTTTAAAATATCTCCTGTATGTGACAGAGTTACTGCTACCTGTTCTGTTATACCGTCAGCCCCTCAGGCTAACAATGAATGCTATCAGTCCTTCACACGGTATTTAGAAGTAACAGTATGCTTTGAAGTTGGGATGTTATTGTGATCCGACCCAAAAACACTTTCAATACTTCATGGATTCTTTGTTTAGCTTAAGATGAGATGATTGGCATTTCCCCTTGTCCCATGCACGATGATTGCAAACTACTTGCACAGTCCTCAATGGGTCGGATGGATACCAATCACATTTTCTGATGTGGGATTTCCTTTTTGAATAATAAAATGTGGTTACACTGGAACGTATGTGGAGCAGATTCTGGGCACTTAAAAGTATGAGTTAAATAATATAAAACTCTAACCCTAACCTTAAAGAATCACTATATGGTCAGGAACACAAACATGTATTCATGACCCTATAGTGTTAAAACCACCATCTAGCCCCCCTGGGCCCCTCATGCCTCCATAAATATAGCAACATCTTACTGTATTCAAGCCTGAAGCTGTAACTCTGCATGCTGTTTGCCTCAGAAAAACAAGCAGTCTGCTGACATCATCAGAAGTGGTAGCCTGAGCCAATCACAGTGCTTCCCCATAGGATTGGCTGAGACTGACAAAGAGGCAGATCAGGGTCAGAGCCAGCACAATTCAAACACAGCCCTGGCCAATCAGCATCTCCTCATAGAGATGAATTGCATCAATGAATCTCTATGAGGAACGTTCAGTGTCTGCATGCAGAGGGAGGAGATACTGAATGTTTGGATGCATTTTAGGCAGCCATGACCCAGGAAGGATCTCTAACAGCCATCTAAGGAGTGGCCAGTGAAGTTATCACTAGGCTGTAATGTAAACACTGCATTTTCTCTGAAAAGACAGTGTTTACAGCAAAAAGCCTGAAGGCAATGATTCTGCTCACCAGAACAAATTCAATAAGCTGTAGTTGTTCTGGTGACTATAGTGTCCCTTTAATATCCTCATCATATCTGAACACCCCCTAACCCTGAACACACACAACCTCTAAAACCCAAATTTTAACCCAAAATCCCTAAAAACCCAAAACATTCTACCCACTAAAATTATCACGAAGCCTCCTTTACCCCACACACCAAAAAAATCACTAATCTTAAATCTCCTTAACCTGCAAACTATATTGCTAGCCTCTAATCTTAATCCTAAATCCCCTAAACATCTCTATACATATCCTTTCTAATTTTGTGTATTTAAAGGACCACTCTAGGCACCCAGACCACTTCAGCTTAATGAAGTGGTCTGGGTGCCAGGTCCAGCTAGGATTAACCCTTTCTGCTGTAAACATAGCAGTTTCAGAGAAACTGCTATGTTTACAAATGGGTTAATCCAGCCTCTAGTGGTTGTCTCATTGACAGACGCTAGAGGCGCTTCCGCGCTTCTCACTGTGATTTTCACAGTGAGAAGACGCCAGTGTCCATAGGAAAGCATTGATAATGCTTTCCTATGAGACTGGCTGAATGCGCGTGCGGCTCTTGCTGCGCATGTGCATTCAGCCGATGACGGAAGAAGAGGGAG